TTTTTTATTTTGGGAAGAAAGTAGACAAGGAGTTAGCAGTTAGGCAATTATGATTCTTCCAGGAATGCAAGTTTGCTTCAATAATAGGTAAATTATAACCACAATATACTATATAAATAACAAAACCAATAAAAAGGCATAGTAAAAGTTTTAGAAACCCTTAACATATTCGAGGTATCTTTTAAACTTAAAACACATGGTCTTAAAATTAACTGTCAAACACAGTGACTGAGATTCCTTTTAAATTATTCTGACTTGTGAATTTTGTCTTATTTCAGTCTGAAATTATGTCGTGTGCTTAGTGAAAATAAAGGCCATGAAAATAAGACTTTCACAGGTAGGTTACGACATTTTTGTAGTTCTTTGTTTTTGTATTATGCTTTGACCTTTTGTTTAGAAAAACAGATTTTTTAACCTAAATAGTGAGTGTTGCTTTTTTCCAATTTTTTTGTATACATAGGTTTAATAAGGGTATCTCTATGTGAAAGAGTATGCATAGTTTAATAACTGAGTTTTCCATGTTTTCTGGAATGGCTGTACCAGCCAATTCAAGAAACTCCTTGAACTATTACACAAACTCCAACCATACTGTAATTTCTCTAGTTATCACAGACTTGGATTGGTCTTTAAAGGGTGACAGATACTGCTTATCAGTTGGCAATTAAATCTTATTCTTAAAAGTTTTGAAAAACTGGAACAGGATTTCCTCATTACTGCTTTAGTGATCATTGTTTAGGGTCTAGAACAGCACAGCCTTTTTCCTTCCCACTTCTGTTTCTGTTGTTTGCCTTGAGATTGCTTACCTTTTTTTCTCCCTGTGAATTTTAAATATTTTCTGTTAGTATTTGCATCATCTATTTGTTAAGGCTGAGAATACACACATAAAAAAAAGAAAACTTTGACTTTTAGGAGCTTACATTTCCTGTGGGGAAAGAGCTGAAAGAGTCGTTAACGAAAAACTTTGAGACATTGAATTGGAAATGGTAAATCTTAAATTAATTAATCTTAAATCTTAAATCTGGCCTACACCTGTCTTGACTCTCAAGCACATGGGTGCAAACAACAAATTATGACACATTCAGTGCCTCCTGTAGACTCTAAGTCCAGTGTTTCTGGAAAATATGACAACTGAGAAAGACAAGCCCTTAACAGAGTACAAACCTAGAAAATCTGAGGGGAGCGTTGGAGAGTCTCCACAGTGACACATGACTAGTTTGACTCCTTAAATGGACATTTTGGGAGAAGCTGTTCAATCTGATGGGGTAAATAATGTGCTTCCATCTGCATTGAGACTCCATAGTACTTTCTCTGGATGTGGATAGCATTTTCAATCATGAGACCTTTGGAGATGTCTTAGATCCTCGAATTGCTGGGAAGGGTTAAGTTTATCAATATTAGTCATCACACAACGTGGCTGTTATTGTGTGCAACATTCTCTTGGTTCTGCTCACTTCACTCAGCATCAGTCCATACAAGTCTTTACAGGTTGTTCTGAAGTCGGCCCGCTTATTATTTCGTGCAGTACAGTGGTATTACACTACATTCATAGACCACCACGTGTTCAGCCATTCCCCAACAGATGGGTATCTCTCAATTTCCAACTTTTGGCCACCACAAAAAAAGCTGCTATAAATATAAATAAATGTAAATATTTATATAAACATAAATACACGTGGGTCCTTTTCCTGCTTGTATGGATTGATCTTAGTCTCTCTTTTTTTTTTTTTTTTTTTTTTTTTGGCGAGGCAATTGGGGTTAAGTGACTTGTCCAGGGTCACACAGCTAGTGAGTGTTACATGTCTGAGACTGGATTTGAGCTCTCCTGACTCTGGGGCCTGTGCTTTATCCACTGCGCCACCTAGCGGCTCTGATTGATCTCAGCCTTGAATAAAGAGATGGATTCTGTGTGGCATGGGGAAAGGAGTATGGAGTGTGAGAAGAATTGAGAAAGTTTTTATGGCTGAATTGTAAAATCATCAGAGATGGTAACAATACCAGAGATAAGGCAATAAAGGAAAAGAAAAATAGGACTGTTTCAGGAGGAAAATAAGGGAAAAGTGGTATCTCAGCTTCTCAATAGTTCATCTTCTGGCCTAAATATTTGTTTTTAATAGTTTTTTTTTTCTATCTAATGAAAAGAAATTTAAAGGTGTTTAAAAATTTTCTCATACCAACATTTTTTTTCTGAATTGAGTTTTGGTATAACCACAAGCATATGTTAATGGAGGTTTAGGTTGGAAAACCTAAGTATTATGAAAATTAGCCTGCTAATTTTTTTTTCTCCATTAGATATTCAGCAGGCTTTCTATGAGCTCTCAAGTCATGTCATTCAAGGAAATCTAAAGCATGACCAAGCATCTAATGTTCTCAGCGACATTGTTGTGAGTATTTAGATGATTCTGCTTTTTCTTAAATTTTGTTTTGTAGGGAAGATAAACAAATATAATGTTCAGAAGCAGTTCTTAGAAAGAAAACTAATTTTCTTACTGAAGTGACCTTAATGACATTAGAATATAAAAGTAATTTTACATTTTAAAATCTCTAATGTCACAAGGTATTCTTTGATAAGAACAGGATTTATTTTTAGAGTAACAGGAACATTGTATATTACCTGAGGAAAACTATAGTACAAGTAATTCTTTACTTAGAAAAATCAGGATGCTATTTTTAGTGTTTTGTGTAAAGAACATGCACATCAGATTTTTTAAAATGTATTTTTATTTTCTCCCAATTATGTGTTAAAACAATGTGACATTTCTTTTTTAACGTTTTGAGTTCCAAATTCTGTCCTTCCCTGTCTGTCTTCTTTCCTCCCTCCCTGAGATGGTAAGCAATCAGATACAGGTTATTAATGTGAAATTGTGTGAATTCATGAGAAACATTTCCATATTAGTCTTTGTTATGGGACATCATAAGCCGTCTAGTCTAATCTTTGTCAGAAGAAGATACACACACACACACACACACACAACACACGCATGCACATGCATGCACGTGCACACACACGTGCATACATATATTTCTATTTCAGTTGTGCTTTCTATTTTCTATTATAAGATATCCATCAAATAAATACTTTCTGTGTTTAAAATTTTTGATACTTTATGTTTCTTAACACATTTTTGGCCCTACTGGGGTTAGGCTTGGTTATTATAATTTCATAGCCGTCCTTCTTTCTGTGTATTTATTTATATTTTCCTAATGGTACTTCACTTCGCATCCATTCTCATAAGCTTCTTTACAATGATAATATTTTTATTTAAGGTATAATAATATAATCACAAACTACAGTTTTGTGAGCATTTATATTACTTTTAGTTCTTCCTAAGTGTAAAATAGTGTTGATGTTAATATTTTGGTGTATAGGGGCAGCTAGGTGGTGCAGTGGTTAGAGCACCAGCCCTGGAGTTAGGAGGACCTGAGTTCAAATGTTGCCTCAGACCAAATACTTGACACTTATTAGCTGTGTGACCCTGGGCAAGTCACTTAACCCCAATTGCCTAAAAAAGAATAAAAAAAAAAATTTTGGTGTATAAAGGGCCTTTTCAAAATAAACCACAATCTCTTGTTCAAAAATAGCTATGTAAGCCATTTTCTTATCATGATTCCAAATTGCTTTCTAGGTTGGCTGAACATTAACACCTTCACCATTAGCGCATTCCTGTTACTGTTAGTGTTCTAGCATATTGATAGAAGAGGGAGTATTGTATGTGAGACTACCATTTGGCTGAATGGGAAGAGCAATTTTGGTTGAGGGTAGGTGGTAAAAGAATTTAAAGGCCAAACAAAGGAGTTTGTTTATGATCCTGAAGACAGTAGAACATCGTTGTTTATTGATTAAGGAATTGACATCTTGGTGAAGGTGGAAATAAGGAACATTACACTGGTAGCTATGTGTAGGATGAACTGAAGTGGAAAGAAACTTCTGGAAGTTTTCTTTCATCTTCTGGGGTTGCAGTATATTCTTACTGTGGTTCCTTGGTACTTGAACACTTTCTTTTAGGCTGCTTCAAGTATTTTTTCACTCTCATAGCTCTCTGGATTTTGGCTATGATGTTTTTGGGCATTTTCAATTTGTTTGTTTCCCAACCCGCATAGCAGTCTTTGTTTTTTTTCTTTTTTTTAAATTAAATTTTATTTAAATTAGTTAATCAGCACATATTTTCCTTTCCTCTGTACTGCTTCTAACTGAAAAAGAATAAAAATTTTAAAAAAATTAAAAATTAAACTGTAATAAATATATATGGTTAAGGAAACCAAATTTCTTCGTTGTCTATGTTAAAAAAAGACTCATTTTGCACTCTTGAGTCCAATTCTCTGTATGTTTCATTGTTCTCTGGAATCACTAGTCTACGTTTGTGTAGTGTATTCCTGGTCAGATGTCTAAAGACTTCTCTGACTTTCTTCCAATGTTGACCTGGACTGGAAGAACAACTCACTGTGATTTTTTCTCGGATTTACCCATAAGTATTTGGCTCTAGCTTCTTAGTAGATCTTTTTCCTTGTTTTTTTTTTCTTTGCCTTTTGGTTCTAAAAAATGTGAGTGGTTTTACGGTTTTTAAGAATATAACCAGCTGTTTTGTTTGTTGATGTTTTTCAGATATTTTGAAGAGTCTTAATTATTTTATCTCTTGTTTTCTTTTTTTCTGTTTTTATTTTATTATCCTGAACTAGACAAACACCAAATAAGATGTGAATTCATACACACACACACA